ACACACGCCACTTACCGTCTCACCCTTAAATACACAAATAGACATTTACTTCAAGGTAAGTGTAGTAAATGGCAACTTCCTTTTTGGGGTGCGGCGCGCACTGCAGACCGTTCAACTAGCTGAGCTGTACGTACTGTAAGTTSATTGCGTGTTGCTTGTGGCAGGCAGTAGGCGCCATGCATATTTGTGAAGCTCGCCAATTGAAAGACTGGCGCCAAAGTGGACGCCAAACTATACTGTAAAGTATGCGAACCAACACACCTGTCCTCCCGCTCGCCCACCTGTAGACATCGCTCCCCTTTGTATGGCTGTCAAAGTTAGCAACCGCAAATATGTAATAGAACTACCCCCCGCTGTACTTTCAACTTTCAAATTGTTACGCCCAAAATGAAGTACACGAAAGGTAATAAAGAAAAGTGTTTTTGTTTTAATTCTTTTCTCATTTGTTTCGTTCATTTTCATTTCGACCGCTTTTGTCTGTGGCTGTGTGGCTTGTCAATTACGTTGGACGCGCCTTGACGCGCTAAAATAATACACTGCAAGAAATTGGTGCTCTTAGGATTAAAAAAAAAAATTAGTGGCGACGGGGGACAAATGCAAGAAGTGCACGAAAAATGTTGCGGAAACAATGTTGAATAGCGAAAAACTTGAGAACTCATGACTCAGAATGAAAGCGCAAAATTTGGGTTTGAGCGGATATTGTGTGCTTGTTTCGAAGTAAATGAAAATGTTTTCCATTACGGTTAATATTAGCTTTAACATCGGCTAATATTAGATCTTTATTGAGTTACCTTTTAACAAGGAATATGATTTGTTATTATTAAATTATTATTTTCATGCTATGCGTGGGATCATTTGTAAATTTTGAAGTATAGGCTGTTATCATCCACAGGGATTTTGCTTACTTTCGTTTGCAAATGGAGACAGATTGTCTATTCTTGTGTTGTAATCATTCGAAATAATCCAAATTCTACCAAACTACTCTCGCTACTATACCGAAAAGAGGAAGAAATCAAAGCTGTATTGCTCTAAAGAGGCTGCATATTCGTTGAGACATCTGCTAACGGCTTCCATAGAAAACTGTGAACAGATCTAAGCTTACAAGATTTAATTTCAGATTTCAATAGCTACACTGCGCATTTAAAAGCGTTCACATGTATGTGTGTTTCTAACATTTCAGCAATAATTCTGCCTAAAGTTAAGCTATCGAATCTAACTAAGCCAAATTGAAGCCAGCTAAAGTTCCTGCCAGCATTTGCAACTGTTGCTAAGCGGCAAAAACGATCAAGAACCGACACAAATTCATTGGTGTTGCCATTCAATTTCTATTAAAAACCGATGCACGCACATAAGCGTGCCTTACAGGCCGGGCGGTGCGGCTTTGTTGGGGACGGTGATGTCGGTGGTGGCGGCAACAGCAATTCACTATCTGCTATGTGACGTATGCAATTACGCAAATGTATCCTTTGACGACGCGTAGGCAAACAACCCAATCTAAAACATACATACACACATACATATTTACGCGTGTGTGTTGATATACATGTACAACTGCATTAATTTACGATTCGCCATTACTAAACTAGCGCCTCCACGCTCCCACAAATAAACAAACTAACAACAGTTACAGTTACATAAAGCTATCTACTACGTTGAGGACATTCACTTGCGCCTGCACCGATCTCATTGCTTCTCCAATTGAGCACTTTTTATACCGACATTGTGTGTTTCGGTTGTATTCATTCAATTTCCATGTTCTTAATTATATTCCTTTGGGTGCTTCACTGGGGTACATATAGTACACCACTGAATACGAAATTATTTGGCATTCATAGAATTGCTTATGCTTTCATTGCTTTTGATTGCGTTGTTGCTGTACGAGTGTGCTGGTGCAATAGCGAATGCATTGACTAGGTCGGTGTGCTGAGGCCACAATTGTGGTATGTGTATGGTCGATGCCTTAAGGATGGCAAGGTATTTACGTGTACTTTAAAGGTTCATTGGACGTCACTGCCTGCGATTTGTGGCATAGAAACTATATGAGAAGGAGATCGACGTATAAGCCATAGGTTTGCAGCTGACGAGATTTGGCTATCAAAATCTAGAAGTTTGTCTTTTGCATACTCTTTATGATTGGAAGTCCTGTACTCGCGAGTCTGACATAGTGTGGCGGTATCGAGCGATGTTTTCACAATTTGTGGGGTGTGGAGATTACAGTTGATCGTGGCTGCCCGGAGGGTTCCATCTGTGATCCATATATTTGGAACCTTATGATGGACACTTTGTGGCCTGAACCATTCTGTAAGTGTTGTGCGTATTTGGACGACCTTCTTCTTCTGGTCGAAGGTCGGTCGTGGTCTGAGCTAGAGCGGGCGAGAGATTGTGAATACTTGGGGTGTAGGTGTGGGGATTAACATATCGGTGGAAAAGAACGGTGACAATGATGCTTAAGGGCATCAGTTAAGAGGGGGTTTGAGTGTATCATTGCTGCGGAATGACTGGATTTCCGATGATGATGTGAAGAGGGAGAGATATCTAGGGAGCAGGAGGCTTCTAGATGATAGTGTTAGATGTAGGTGGCACCAACGTTAGGGCAATAGTCTTAACAGCCGAGTAACTTATGAACACATTCTCAACGTTGGTATGGTAGAGGATAACCGCGGGTCATGGGCCTCTGAATGAATTTTTGCATTTGATAGATCGGCTAGTTTTTGTGAGTCGGGGGTGGAGGATTGGGTGTCACAGTGCCCGATGTACTGGGACACTAGTGATCTGGGTGGTATGGGATGCCAGATGACTGATGGACGATTAGATTTTAGTGGTCGGAACCACCACTAGTCGGAATACCGAACAGTCATGGAATTAGTATTAGCTTTTGTATGAGTGGTGTGTCTATGTGATATGTGTACGGCCACCAGTCCAGAACTGTATGGAATCTCTAGCTACCAGTTGGTAGCAGTTTCGTCTACGAGGTCTGACCGGAGACTTAATCTGGTACAATGGGGAGCAGGAGCCCTTGGAGTTCGCTCTAACCTGCTCATGCGGACTGGCCCCTCGGAAAGTATCGTGGAGGTTGTAATTAAAACCCATAAAGCAGTGTATTAAAAATGCTTCTACGCTATATTTCGCCTGTTGCGCCTTCAAGTTGCGATTATGATCACAACCCAACTTTTTATGCCTTCCACATATGTTCGCCCATACCTACAGATAGTATGTTCGGCCCTTCATTAGCATTCTTCATGGCGCGCCAGTACATCACCCTCAATTTTGTCTTTTATTTACAGCTACACCACACACATGTATAGTGCACACTTCAGGTTGTGCTCCTTTATTCATTTGACATTGTATGCTATGCGCTCGTGTGACGGAAATAAAAGACCTACTCTATTTGCCTAATGAATTGGCCTTTGTTAGTGAGTCTTTCGGTCAATTCGTTAATTGCGTAGGCCAACACCCAAAAACACGCTCAAACGGACAAACAAGCCATACGCATACATTTGTCCTTGCGTTCAGTGAAGATTAGGGCTACTCGCCCCTTGGTACTTGGTTGTGCTTTTGTCATATCTATACCTATGCACATTCACGCATATATAAAAAAGACATGAATCGTGGCCCTTTGGCTCACTTGTTCAAACTTTTACAACGTGCTTTTTTAGTGCGGGAAGCAGCCGGCAGAATCCACTTTGTAAGCTAATTGATTAGTTGTGTTTGTTCGATTTGGGGTTGGTGGCGCATAAATTAGCCACAAACAAGTGGTTAATAAAAGCGAAGGATATTCCCGCATATATTTGCAGATGAATGTGAGTGCCCGGGGTTTAAGCCGGAATTTGGCAATGAATTAGGCGTGATTTAAATTTAAACACAGTTAGGAAACTTTAATCAAAATGTTTTAGTATACATGTATGCATAGATAGTAAATGCATTGCATTAAAGAATTATAAACAAATAACTTTTACGGCAGAGCTTTCTTTAAGCTTTATAGCTTTCATAAATGAAAGCATTCGCAAAGAGAAAAATTACATCTGAGGACTAGAAAACATTATGGATGAACGCAGTCTATTTCCTCAGTTGCATTGCCATTAAATTTTAAACATTTTCGTTGTCATTTTGGACCACATTTTTGGTCGAAAGCCGCGGATGTCACTAACAGAAAAATTCGTCAGTCGTGAATGTGCTACTTCAGGCATTATGTGATGATGTGAGCCATTGTGAGAGTAACTCTGCCACCTGTTTAATTTAAAATAAGCCATTCATTCAGCTTCCAGTTCACCGTAGGGAAATTCAATGCTTTATTCCAACAAATATTTCTTAAAGAAGGGACTTCTGATTTTACCTAGATTGGTGTTCGTAATACTTAAGATTACTACCGGAAATAAACTTTGGAATATTTCACAATCAACACGAAGCCACAAAATCCAATAAACAAAATATTTCAATTATAACCTCAAATTATCCGAGTTATTCGAGACACCACTTCCACCTTTAAACGAGCTGACGCAATACAAGTTCTAACCAGAAATCATTAAATATAAATATTTTTGTGGTTTTAATTACAAGTCATAACCTTCGGATGCAAATCAATTTTCAAAGGAAATTCAAGAAAGAGAAAAATTGAAAATATTTGCGGTCATAAAGACAGTGGCGCCTTTACAATAAAACGGTGGGGCAAGCTGCGAACACAAGGCGCAAAGAGCGTCGATTTCAACAAATAAGGCAATTCTTCGTGCCGTGATATAGCGAATAAATGCAGCAAATTGCTTTTCCCGACTAACTTTTTTTATGAGAAACTATTAAGCGCCTCACTAAGCAGTCGTCAATGCAGCATTCCACGACAAATCGTAATTCCGCACACAGCAATGCTAAATTTAATTTGGAAACTTCTGCCTCACTGATTGCAAAGACATTGCACGTTCCATAAATTGTATTAAATATGATTTAGAAGTGGATGTAGACTTAAATGTAGAGAGATAGAGAGAGAGAGAACTTTGTCGTATACTCACCTAAAGTCCAAACTTAAATTCCGCTGATGCGTTGAAATGCGTTTTGGCGGATTTGTTCCCGCCGCACCGCTCGCGACGGCAGCGCCTGACACAGCGCCGCCTGCCACACTCAGATTCGGTCGTCCATGCACCGACGGCATCGAATGATTGATGAAGCGACTCAAACTTAGACGCGGTTTTGGATAACGCACGTGCTTCGGCGTCGTGGAAGCCGAGTTAACGGGTGTGCCACCGCACACACCGATACCCGCACCGCCAACACCATTCAAGCCGTAGCCGTGGTAGTGTGGTGGCATCGACGCCAAGCTGCTGTTGCCATTCGGCATGATGATGGGCAATGTGACGGGCGCAGATTTCAGAAACGCAGGCACATAATCCGCATCTGCTGCATTGGCGCTGATCAGCTGCTCTGTGGGCGAAGATGAAGCCGATGCGACACTAGCGCCGCTGCCCGTCGACGACGACAACGTTAATGTGGAATTGTGTGGCGAAGAGTTGGCTAGCGTAGTCGCATCACAGCTGGTAGTCGAACTGCACGAACTCGGTCCGGAATTGCATATGGCGGCAATGGATGAAGATGCTGATGTGCTGGCGGCAGAGTTGGTAGAGGTGCAGGTGGATGTGGAGGATGAGGACGATGTTGAGGAATTGCTGCGCAGACTTTTTGCTGGGCTGGTTTGTGCGGTAGATGTGACTTTGGTACCCTTTGTCTCCGCCACACGTAAACCCGTTGGACTATGCACCACCGTGCTGTTGCTTTGCTCACTGGAACTACTCGTGCATGCTGCCGCCGAGTGCTCTGACTCATCATCGTCAGCGTCGAGGAGTTGCGCCACCGGACTGCTGGGCGTTGGTGGACTCTGAGTCGTCTGCCCGTTTGTCATCGTCTTGCTGGCGGGTGTTTCACTGCAATTGCCATTCTCCGCATTTGCTACAAAATTAGTTGCGTTCACATTTCCCACTCGCACCATCATTTCGGGACCACCGGCAACAGCGCCACCATTCAACAACGCACACTTGGCGCCGTTCATATTGTAGTCGGCTGGTAATGTTGAATCCATGGCTGCTGCCAAACGTACGGTGGCGGGCGCGTGGTCGACCACATCGACACAGGGCGGTCGGAAGTCGTCGACCACCACCACGGGCGACAACATCTTGGTGGCGGATTCGATTTCGCGTATGTGTCGCAGATACTGATAACCGTTATCTTGTGCATTAATTGCCTTCTTCTTCGCACTGACGGAGCTGGTGGTATTCAGAGTGCCGACGTTATTAGTGGACTTGTCATTGGCGGTGGCAGAATTGCTGGAATTCTTTTTCGTTTTAAACGCGGAGATTACGGAATTCATATTGGCGATTTGTGCTTAGACTATGTGTTCACGAGAAATGAGTATTTTTTGATTTCTAAAGGAGACTGTATCTACTAAGTATACATAAGTGTGCAGTATCAGAAGATATTTGTTGTTGAAAATCTAGTAAAGTGGGATATGTGATACTTTATGCATGGATTTTTGTAGAGACCACTAAATCATTTTCCATTAGCTGCGCAGTGCTCTTCGCTTTCAATCCCAACTGCACTGTACGTGCAATAAATATCAATCAGTTCCAGACGTTCCCAATCGATTTGGCGTAGTTCTAAGTCATTTTTATATAATTGCAAACTATTGGGACGTGTTTCTGAACGGCATCGGCCGGCTGAAGCCCAATACGATTGCTACTTCATTTGGCATCTTGAAAGCGTTTCGGATAAGAATCTGAGAAAGGAAAAGAAATCGATATTAGTTTAAGTTGATATGAAAATATTGTATAAACACATAATATGAAAATGTATTCGAGAATTAAAGTAAAATCCACATCACACCAAATTCAGAGTTCGCTTACTTTTATCGACTTAGATTATACTCGTATGTGTGTAGGGTGATCCAAGTCAAGCTATTTAAATACAGCTTGTAGAAAAACTTATGCCGCTCAACGTTCCCAAGCGACATCACTTCGCTCTATGGTCTCCTGAAAAGTTCCAAGAAGATCCGACGTTTTCGAGCCAAATTTTGCTTATGTAAACAAGCAAAATTGCCGCATTTCGGACGATGAGCAACCTGAAGAGATTCAAGAGCTGTAATTTCTTCCAAAAAAAGACAACGGTTTGTCCGGGACGATGAAATCATCGGTCCATGTTTTTTTTTTTAAATGATGCCGGTGAAAATGTAATCGTCAATGGTGACCATTATCGCGTCACAATAACCGACTATTTTATACTTGATATATTGATTTATTGAGAGAACACTTCGGTTAGCAGAAAATTTAAAGTTTTAGGCTGGTCGATTGACGACCAAAATCGTATGATATCACACCGTTAGACTTTTCTCTGTGGGATTTGTAAAGTTCAAATTCTATACGGACAATCCCGCTTCGACTCAGTGCTTGGAGGCAGACTGCACATGTCGAATAAGTCATCGAAATTTGCACCCAACGGATAGAGCAACTGAGACGTAGCCGCAGCTAACATTTGAAAGAGACAATCTTCAAAAAGTGAATGCCAAAGAATGTTCTTTCGAATAATAAAAAAAAAAATCCCATTAAAATTAAAGTTTCTGTGTTTTTTCTTAAAAACGTAGGGAATCTCGAAATGAATAAGTGCCCTCAAAAATGTATATATAACTTCGTACCCAAACAAATATATGAAATATAACTTAGAAAAATATTCTACCACATCACATTCCCTCGAACCACTTCACATCACAACGTATCAGATCACAGCATAGCAATTATATATGTAAATTATCAAATCTATAATCCAACTTTCTAATACATCCAACTTTTTATATCATGAGAAAATAATGCAGTAGTATTTAAAACATAATGCCATCAAACATCACAACATTATAATCATATAATAGCATTGCATGATATCACTCGCAACATGTCACATGAACAGTTTATATTTCATAAATAAAAAAAATCAAACCAAATTGTTCTAAAAACAATAAAATACATATTTTAAGAAAAGAAACAAATCATATCCTACAATCTCTCATCACATGGTATATTCAATATCATATCACGTCGCTTCATATGATGATGTTTATTGAGTTATGAAAAAGTATACAATTTTACAAATACTAAACATATACATCTACATGAAATATATATTTTGGCTATATTTACCTATATATATCTATATTTACCCAATTACCAAAATATCATACCAAACATCACCACATCAATATCACTTCATGTGTGTGCAATGTCAATATCTCGCGCTCAAAATAAGTTATCACATATACAAATCTAACTCTACTTTTTATAAAGGTAACGGCACACATCTCATGCTCATTACTAGATGTAACAACGTAAAAACGGCTATTTTCTTTAATTTGAAAAAGCCGATAGGGTAAGCCAAAGAGTGTTATTGTCAAGGAAATATTAATACAAATATTTACATATTTCCGAAATACAAAAATATTTATTCTTACTTCGACGAAGCATGCCACAGGCGTAATTATTTAGAAAGCATTCGGGCATAGCATAGACAGCAAGTCTCCCAAAGTACTAAATTTACATAATTTAGCCATATATAGACATGTGTGGGTGTGTGTGGCATTTGCGCCATGGTTGTGCTGATGTGACATTGCAGCTACTGCTGCTGTTGTTGAATCATTGTCGCGCAATTTCGATGACAACTGCCGAAAGCCGTACAAACCAACATCAAACATCTACACACATCTATGTATGTGTAGCAAATAAACAATATAGAATAAAAGCTGAAAGCAGACAGCAAGTCAAAATCCTACTGTTAGTCCATCGAATAGACAGACGGCAATCAGTTTGTTGGCTTATCGATCAGTGATTGTATGTGTAACTACATCATCTTCCTTAGACAGACAATTCCGTCAGCCGACGGCGACGCCAAATCATCGTGTACACTTGTGTAATAAAAGCGCTAACTTGATGATTAGGCGCTTAGAACAAACAGACGACAAGACGTAACTGGGGCGACCTTGGTAATGCCGTTGCGGACGGTGAAGAGATGTAGCGAGGGAGCGCGAGTAACAAAGAACAATGACTGAAATGTGTCCAAGTTCAAATTCAGCAAGTGCCACTAAGTGACGAAAAAAATTGTATGTAAATAGGTGTGGCGACAAAGTTAATGAGACGCTAATTTCAGTTAACGATAATTTAATAAAAAAACAAATACGAGAAGGTAGTGGAGGTCCGTTAATTTGTGCATCGTTAATATTTATTATTAGTGGGATATATTTTTTGACACTAATTGAGTCATTGGCGATTGTATTTATTACATGACATTTTTATAATCGAAGCACATCAATTAGACATTGCCTACATTTCAGCGCGGCCCTGTATAAGGACAGGCAAAAAGGAAACCTCAATTCAGGATTTCAACGAAAACATAAAAATAAATAAAATTAAGTAGAAAATTAATTAAATTAAATTATATTATTAAATAATATCAATAAAAGCGGTAAACGGTGTTTAAACGGGTCCTACAGTTTTTAAATGCGATTTCATATAATTGCGTATATTAGATTACTTATGTTTTATAGATTCCATTTATCTGAAATTTTTATGTAGTAATCTTTATTGACTTGCCAAAATCTGGAACTAGCCATAACTCCAAATTTCAATGTTCACTCTTTTTTAAAAAGTCCCAATTTTATGGAAAACAAAAATTTTCCTACTTTTCCAGAAAAGCAGACATTACGACATTATTATCGTGGGATAAGCCTCAATATCGCAAATAATGTTCAAGCGTTTTGTGTCAACAAAGTGATTGCACCTGGGAAAGCAACAACTGACCAGATATTCACCACGCGCCAAATCTTGGAAAAGACCCAACGAGGTTTCAGACAAGGCGACTTCTTCTATCTACTTTTGGAGAAAATAATTCGAGCTGCAGAGCTGAATCGAGAAGGCACATTATGTTATAAGAGTGTACAGCTACTGGCGTTCGCCGATTGTTCTATATTCTTCAGACTGGATAAGGAAGAGAATCAAATGGGACTGGTTGTGAACGAGGGCAAGACGAAAATCCAACGCAGAATATCTCTTGCTAATAGGTGCTACTTTGGACTGAGTAGGCAATAGAGAAGTAAAGTCCTCTCTCGACGAACAAAGACCAAACTCTATAAGGTATAAGTTGCAGAGGCATGGACGATGACAATATCTAATGAGTCGACGTTACGATTTTTCGAGAGAATGGTTTATATTATACAAAGGACCATAAATTTTAAGGCCACAGCGAATATCGCATTCGATGGAACGATGAGCTCTACGACTTATACGATGATATTGAATCAAGAGACTGCGGCTCCGCTGGCTAGGTCATGCTATCCATATGGATGAAAACACTGCAGTTCTGAGAGTATTTGACACAGTACCCGCCGGGGGAAGTAGAGGATAAGGAAGACCTCAACTTCCTTAGAAAGATCAGGTGGAGAAGGACCTGGCTAGACTTGGTATCTCAACGAGGTTTCAGAATATGCGCCTTAATGTAGGCAATAGCAAAACTGTGTACCTGGCCTTTGTGGCTTTGAATCAACAGGGTTTTGAATTCTAATATTTATAATGTAATATCTACTTAATATACACATAATGCTTAATCTACTTTTTAGTGAGAATCTTTGATAATTGACGCCTAGTAGACTATATATATATATCTGACTTCAGTCAGAGATTTAACAAAATTTTTGACCGCTTTCTTGTGATTTTAACTTAAAATGAAATTTTCTTAAAATAATTTCTTTTAACTTCCATGGCTGAACTAGAGGTGAGAAGGACAGTCAAGGAACTGATTGCATGTCTAACTTTAGTAAAGTTGAATATAAATTTACAACTACGTTTTTATTTTGCAAACTCAGGCTGCAGAAAATCGAGATTAAACAATAAATATAAATCACAATTCACAACCCCAAAAAGATTTACCGACTGCGATACAGACAGCATTAATTTTTTTCTAATCTTTTCCATTTGTCCTGCCACCTGCAGCTGTCATATTTCAACTACTTCAGCTCGCCCGCAAACCGTGCGAAAGCCAACCTTTACAAAGTGGGAAAGTGAAGCTGTCGGACATGTGGCAAACTTTTGTTCATGTGCAGAGTAATAAATTTTGAAAGTAATTTATACGAATGTGCGACTTTATTTACCTTTGCGACAGAATAAATTATATTTTTAAAGTTAGCCATATTTCTTAGATTTTTTAAGTGCAACAATTCGCAAATGTTAAACGCTGAGGACGAGAAAGGTAAACAGTGAACAGTGTAAAGTAAAATGGAAAGTAAACACCGAAAAGACAAGAAAAAAATTGTGAATTTTTGCACGGAAACTTAATTTG